AGATGTACTCTTGTAGCCTTTTTTTGTCTAGGAAGCTCTTTATTTCACCTTCCACTTTAAACAAGAGCCTGGCTGGATAGAATAGCCTTGGTTGTAGGTCCTTGCTTTCATTACCTGGAACATTTCATGCCAATCCCTTCTGGCTTGTAGTTTTTCTGTTGAGAAATCATCTGATAAGCTTATCAGGGCTCTCTTGTAAGTAGCTAGCTATTTCTCCCGTGCTGCCTTTAAGATTCTCTCTTTGTCTTTAAAATTTGCCATTTTAATTATGATGTGTCTTGGAATAGGCCTCTTTGGGTTCATCTTTATTGGGACCCTCCGTGCTTCCTGAACTTGTGTGACTTTTTCCCATACCAAATTAGGGAAATTTTCTGTCATTATTTTCTCAAACAGGTTTTCTATCCCTTACCCCCTTTTATCTCCTTCTGATATTCCTATCATGCGAATGTTATGTTTCATGTTGTCCTAAAGCTCCCTTAACTATTATTGTTCTTTCTGAGTCTTTTTTGTTTTGTTGCTCTGAATGGGTATTTCTTCCTACCTTGTCTTCCAGCTTGCTGATTCAGTCCTCTGCTTCATCTAGCCTGATTTTAATTCATTCTAGTGTATTTTTCATTTCAGATATTGTATTCTTCATGTCTTCCTGACTTATCCATAGTTTCTATGTCCTTTTTCATGCTGCTATAGTTCCCACTAAGTTCCTTGTAGCTTCCATAATGTGCCTTATAGTTCTCACTGAGCTCCTTGAACATCCTTATAACCATTATTTTGAATTCTATGTCTAATATATTGCTTGCCTCAATTTCTTTTAGCTTTTTTTCTGGGGACTCCTCCTTTCCATTCAATTAGGGGTTATTTCTTTGTCTCCCCATTTTAGGTGACTCTTTTTGTTTGTTTCTGCACCTCACGTTGCTCTCCTTTGCCTGCCTGTCTTTGTGGGGTGGACTTCTGTGGTAGGAGTTCTGTGGGACTCAGTGGTACAGTCTCTTTCATCTCCTGATCTGGATGCTCTAAGTTTGCCTTTTATTCAGTTTACGCGGGCTCTCTTGTTTTACTTGGGCTTTGATTATTGATGGCTCATTTGTTCGTGGGCTCTCCCTTCTGGCTGGCTGACTGGGAGTCACAACTCCTGCCACATCTTGTATGCTATTGTACATGTGCTGGTCAACAAAGCAATACTACCCAGAAAACCAACCCCATGCCAGCAAGAATATCCCCCTATCACATCAGCAATATTGACAGCAAATGAGCAAATATTAATAAAGATATAAAGCAATTAAGAATATTATAAGATTGGAAAAAGGGAATATGAGGTGACTAAAGGAGAGGAAAATTATTTTAGTGGGAAGAGGGAGGAGAAACAATAAGTGTAGGGAATAGAAACAAGGAGAAGAAAGGAAGAAAATAAAATTTAAAACATAAGTAAAACAGGAAGAGTTGATGGCAAAATGGAGCAAGAAAAGGGAAGAATATAATATGAGATTTGAAATAAAATGTAAAAGGTAGTGGACCAAAGGGAACAAAATTGCAGAAAAAACACAGCAAGGTCAATAACAACAATAGCTGAGTAAAAATTGATAAAGGTGGAAAGAGAACAAGAATATTCTGTGAAAGAGAAAAGAGAATATGAGATGTCTACAGTAAAGAAAAATGATTTTGAGAGGATAGGGGGAGGAGAAATAATAAGAGCAATAGAATCCAGGCTAAGAAAGGGAAAAAATTAAAATTCCAAACTCAAATAAGTGAGGGCTGGAGGAAGGCAAAATGGAGTAAGATGGTGGGGAGTGACCTATGAGATCTGAAATCTTTAAAAAGTGAGCAAATAGGTATACAGTTGAAGAAGAACATCAATAACCATAATTTATAAAGTATAATTATTTTACCATAATTCATAAATAATAGCCACAATTTATAAAGGTGGAAAGAAAATAAGATTATAAGGTGGGGAAAAAGAATGTGAGCTGACTAAAGGAAGGAAGAATGCTTTTGAGAGGATAGAAGGAGGAGAAATAGTTAAGAGTAAGAAATAGGAACAAGGCATAGAATGAGGAAAAATAAAATTTACAATGGAAATAAGAAAGAGCAGGTAGAAGGCAAAATTGAGTAAGACAAGGGAAGGGTACAATGTGAGATTTGAAATAGCAGTAAAATACATAATATAAGATCTCAATAAAAAGAGTAAAAAAATAAAAGACAAAGCATAGTGAATTAGTTGGAATACAACTGAAGCAAGAGAGGAGATATTAAAAAGCTATGTGAAAGGAAGAGTAAAACAGAAATTCTAAAAAAGAATGACATACACTTCATCTCAGCAGTTTGGTGTTTGCCTTCTGTCTTCTCTTTCTGGATCCACCTCTGGCTTTTTATCAGCTCAAGGTCCCGGGGTGGATCACCCAACTTGTGGCAGCACCGCCTGTGTTACCTTCAGCTGCCTTTAGAGGGGGCTTCTGTTGTGATTGGGAGGATGGGAGGCCTGGGTCTCCCTTGGGAGGGGCTGTTCAGGCTTCTGGGAAAACCATAGGTGTGTGCCCCTTGCCCCAGCACTGCCTGTCTTGGCCTGTCCCAGCTTATTTCCAGTAATGTGTATCTTATGATGAACTAGCTGTCCACGTCAAGGGAGGTGCCAATTTGTGTTAGAGGGCCAGCTCTTTCCTGCTTGGTGCTGATGGCAGCTCTGTGTACAAGTCGAGGCTGGGTGGGACCCTAATTATTCCTTGCTGCTCCAATTTCTGATCTCCCTGCTTTGCTGGCCTCAGTGGAATAGGGCCCTAGGAACCAGTGTATTTTGTCTCCCTGGGAGAAGTTCAAAATGGGTCCTTTAGATGTTTCTCTTTCTGTCTTTCTCTTGTGGATATGCACCCTGCAGTGGGTTGTTGAGCCTGTCCAGCCTGTTTTGAAGATCTTCCCTGTTGGTGGTGCTTTCAGTCCTGCAGGAGGTGGGGGCTGTGTCCTTCCCTTCCTGGAGGTTGGATCTCCACCAGGGAGGGGGATCTGTCCAGCTGTAAACAGTCTTGGGTGCTCAACTCCTGCCCGTCTGGTTCCCAGCCTATTGCCCTTGAAGCAGACAAGAGTCCTTAACTCTCCACTCTGTACGGCTTCAGTGCAGCCTCCACCCTGCCAGCTGTTTCAGGCTGGAGCTGAGAAATCCCCTTGCTGTGCACCTTCCTGATCTCTCTGCCCAGTTGCACTGAGTGGGAGGAAGCAAACCACACCTTCAATCCTTTCCCCTTGCTGACAGGGCAGCTGCATGTGGGGTCCCTGTCCAGCACACCTCAGCTTCCCTTTTAAAAAAGTCTCTCCAGGCACTCCCACTGCAGCATCGAGTCACTGTCTGGATTTCTGTACACACCGCCTCTCTGAAAAGCCAAGTCTCTCACAGTCACAGCTGGCTGTGGCCTGCCTCCTCCACCCAACCCAGGTGCAGATAGAACCCCTCTCCCTCTCCGGCACTCTCCCAGTTGGCATTCGCTGCTGCAGCTGTGGGTGTGTTGCTTGCTGTGTGCCTGTGTCTGTGTAGCCTGAATCTCCTCAACTTTGTGTATCCAGGTCACTGCCGGCCTGGGTCTGGGGGTCCTCTGATCTGGGAGGGGCAGGAGCCGCAAAGCTGTGATCTCTGACCAGGCTCTCTGTGGCGGCAGGTGCCACACATGGGGTATTTCCCCTTCAGCCTATATAAAATCCCCTTACCTCCTGTCGTGAAGCATCTTCTGTACTCCTTGGCTTTGAAACTTCGTATCAGCTAAGATTCTGTTGAATGTTCAGTTTATTTTTCAGAAGATCAGCCAAGTATCCGGGTTGGGGGCAAGAGCAAATGGACTCAGTTTCCACCTACATGGCTGCCATCTTCTTCAAAATTTCCTTTTTAAGGCTAAACCATATTCCATTGTATGTATACACCACATTTCGTTTATCTATTCATCAGCTGACGGAAATGTGGGTTGTTTCCACCTTTTGGCTATTGTGAATAGTTCTACAGTGAACATTCATATATTCATATTCAAGGGGTTTTTTTTAAAGACTTCTTTTTTTTTTAAGATTTTACTTATTTAGTTTTAGAAAGAGGAGAAAGGAGAGAGAGAGGGAGGGAAACATCAATGTGTGGCTGCCTCCCTCACACCCCCTCCTGGGGACCTGGCCCACACCCCAGGCATGTGCCCAGACTGGGAATCAAACCACCAGTGACCCCTTGAATGCAGGGCCGGCACTCCATCCACAGAGCCACACCAGCCAGGACTATATACAAGTTTTTGTGTGGACATATGTTTTCATTTCTCTTGGAATTCCTCTGGGAGTTGAATTGCTGGGTCATACGGCTCTTTGTTTAACCATTTCAGGAACTACCAGGCTTTTTCCAAAGAGGCTGTACCACTTGACATTCCTACCAACAGTGTATGAGAGCTCCAATCTCTCCATATCCTCATCAGCACTCTTTTTTTTTAATTTTAGACATCCTAGTGGATGTGAAGTTATATCTCATTGTAGTTTTCATTTGCATTTTATTAATAGCTAATAATGTTGAGCATCTTTTCATGTGCTATTGGCAGTAAGTCAGATTTATGTCAGAAGCAGGATAAGAGTCTCAGGCTGTATAGAACTGGCATTTGGACGTCCAGACTCAAGGCAAGGACTGAGAGCTGACCCAGTTATCTGGAAAATAGACAAGATTGAAGTGGTTTCTATTACTATACAAGGGTATAGCTAAGAAACAGAAAACTTGAAATTAATGACTGAAGCAGTGGAGCAGAGATCAGAAGTCAAGGAGTTTCCAAAATAAAACTTGCTTGCTAAAGCTACACTACACCCATCAGCTCAAGACCAAGATAGGCCAGAGACTTGAGTCCCTGGCAGAGACTCAAAGCTGGTGTTCTTTAGGAGGTTATCCCCGTCTGGTGCCAGGCCCTGCCAAAACAAGAAGAGGAAATCCAAGAAAGGTGCATATGGAGGAAGCAAAATAAATTTTCAGTGTTCAGATATGCCTGTATTTAAATTTATTTTTACAGAAACTATAATAAAAAATGTCATCATCACAAAGCCAAGCTTCACAGAGTCAAGAGTCGTTTCACACATGAAGTAGAGCTACGCGATAAAAGAATTAAACTACTTGAAGATGAAATAGGAATACTGCGGCAAAAATTAGAAAAGGTGAGAAATAAAAAGGTGAAGAGCTCACTGATGATGTTGATGGTCAGTCATCTGGAGAAACCCCACTCGTTTTTAAAACTTATTTGTGGCCTCTCCCTAGCACGTTGTTCATGTGCTATGCACCTTATTTCTTTGCACCTTTTTTCACTGTGGGTAATTGTTTAGGCCCTGCCATAAAGGATTTAAGACTCAGACTGATTGATGCCAAACCAAACTGGACACTGAATATATTCTACACTGCCAGCTTATAATTAGTGTCTTGCCTTCAAGTGAAAATATCTTTTCTTAAACACCCTTCAACAAAGATTTCCAAAACACCATCAGTAACTCATTCCTACTTTTTATAAGCCCTCATTTAGCCTCAAACTTCTGTCAGTTTTAAATGGCAGTGAATATAGATGATCCCTATTCCTTTATCAGCTAGTGCCTTCAAGCTTATTTCTAAATAGCCATGGTTTGTTTGTTTGTTTGCCTATTGCCATTTTGACTTACTGGTGTGTGTGTCTACACATGGGTAGAATACAAGGCAGAATGGTGTTGAGATTATTAAACTACGTAAGTTCAAAATGGAGAGCAGCTAACGCAGCCAGGAATGTTTTTCCTTCTTGAAATCCCTAGCCCATTTCAGAATTTTGAAAACTCTGCCCTCACTCCTAAAGTACTCGTTTCTATACAGTTGTTCCATGGGCTATTATGGAACTCCAGGTTAAGAATCCCTTGACTACACACAATTTAGTGATCTCTGTCTAAATCCAATATGACCAGCATCCTTATGAAAAGAGAAGACACAGGCATACCCAGGGGAGGGAGGCCGTGTGACAGTGGAGGCAGAGATTGGAGTGCTGAGGCTACAAGCCAAGGGATCCCAAGCACTGCTAGCCACACCAGCTAGAAAAGGGGCATAGAACAAATTTTCCCTCAGAGTCCCCAAAAGAAACTTACCCTACCAACAATTTTTTTAAATTTTTATTTATTGATTTTATTTCTTTTAGAGAGAGAGAAACACTGATCTGTTGTTATATTTATTTATGCATTCATTGGTTGATGCTCCTATGTGCCCTGACGGGGGATTGAACCACAACCTTGGTGTATTGTGGCAGCTCTGTAACCAACTGAGCTACCCAGCCAGGACCCAGCATTTTGATTTTAGATTTCTAGCCTCCAAACTGTGAGAAAAATTAATTCCTGTTGTTTTAATCCTCCCAATGTGTAGTAATTTGTTATGGCAGACTTAGGAAATGAATACGTCTACCCAAAGAATCACCGGTCTCCATGAAAGATATTGAAGATCAAAAATAAGCAGAAACTAAGAGTAATTGGACCTTTTGCTCACTGCCATTAAGTGTACTGTGGGCTTTGGTTTTAGACAGACTGAAATGCGAAAATCTAGCCCTGCCACTTAATAGTACCTGTGTATCATTTTCCTCATCCATGAAATAGGAGAAATAAATCCCTACTTCACCATGCTTTTGTGAAGATTAAAATATGAAATGCCTGAAGTGGTTTCTGGCACATAAATTTCTGTAACCTTCTTTTTGGTATAAAATCTCTTAAAAGCATGTTCATCAGTAGATGCATAGTTCACAAGAGAAATTGTTACTAGAATTGGAGATAGCTTAGAAAAGACCCTCAGTGGTACAAACCTGGTGGTTCAGATTTTACTTATTTTAGAGCCTACGGACCAGAGCCCCGAGCATGAGAAAGCTGGGCTCATGAAGCTCCATGTCTCCAGAAGATAATGCAAGTTTTGTTTTGTTTTGTGTGGCTTCATTCTCCAGTTTTCCCTATATACAGTGAGCCAGTTGAGTTCTGACTGTTGTGACCATCCAAACCAAATTTCCCCAAATATTTTATCCTTATTAGAGCAGTTTTTTGTCCTTATTTTGCGGTTCAAAGAAATATGGTATTTCCAAAGGACAAGGTGTGTCAGTTGCCTGCCCTATTCAATTTCCTTTCTAATCTAGTTCTAACTGCATAGAGTATTACTTGTGGGATGGCTCTTTCCATTTGCAATCCTTACCATAAATGTATTTAAATAATATCAGGGGAGACTATTGTTGGACATGGAAGGGCCCTCGATGAAAGACGTTAAAGCCTGGAATGGTTTGTTTCAGAACATAATGTAATCTCCTTCCTTGTAACTCTTTGGTGGACAGTCTCTTTCTTTCTTCCTTTTTTTGAGATATAATTGACATATAAAATTTTATTAGTTTTAGTCATACAACGTAATGACTCCGTATTTTGTATATAGTACAAAATAGTCCCCACAATAAGTCTAGTTAACACCCATTACCATAAATGGTATTATTTTTTTCGTGTGATAAGAACTTTTAAAAACTTGCTCTCTTAGCAACTTTCAAATATAAAATATAGTATTATTCATTATAGTCTCCATGATGTACATTACATCCCCATGACTTATTTATTTTATGACCGGAGCTTTGTACCTTATGACTCCCTTCATCATTTTGCCCGTCCTCCATCCCTTGTCTCTGGCAACCACCATTTGTTCTCTGTATCTGAGTCTGGGGGTTTTTTTTGTTTGTTTGTTTTTAATTTGAGATTCCACATATATAGGCAGTCTTTTCTGAATGCTCTATAGCAGTATATTGTTTCAAAGAAAGAAAGAAGATGGCCTCTCTTAACCCTATGATCCCCCCTCTGCCAGGGGCCGTTCTCCGCCCCCACGCCCTCCCCACTGGCAGGTGAGGAGCACACAGGAAAAGGTGAAAGCACTTGCCTGCTGCTGTTGACACATCACCAGTGAAATGAGAAGGAGAATTCAGCAATTTTGAACTTCTGAACTCTTCAACAACAGTTGATATTTCCTAATATCTACTGACTCACTATAAGAATGTTAGTGTATTTTTTCACAAAGTACACTCCTTTGTCATTTTAGCTGTAACTTCACTAGCTATTGCATTCAGAGGGAATTGTGGGTAGAAAATGAAACATAGCATCCAGCTAGAAACTGTTTTAGCATCGTCATTGCAAGAATACAGTCAGTGCCTGGCTGAAATGCTTGGCCTGCTAAGCCAACTGAGATCCTGACACCAGGTGCCAAGTCAGGGGGCTGAAATCCCATTTCCCTCTCTTTGCCTTACAAAAGACTATAACTACAAAGCATATGGAAATGTATTATGAAATAAATGTATTTCAGTATAGAGCTTCAAATAATTCAGTTGTGTTTGTCAGTGATTTGATACTTACAGAGTTTGAATACAGATGAGATCATTGGGACCTTACTAGAAGTTGAGGGCCCAGGTACTTTTAAATGTTAACCCAAAAGAATGAGTGAATATCCATACAAAGGACATGACGTAAGTAACCAAAATATATAGAAGGACAATCTAGCTGACAATGTCAGCAAACAGGTGAAAACAGCCTGGATGAGAGGAGAGAAAGAAAGAAGGGAAATTTGCTATCAGAGTTATAAACAGGTTGGTGTTCTTAAATTTGTTGTTTCTCTTGCCATGGTAATTAGGGGGCTTTGGCTTTTATCCCTAGGAGAAGACATTCCAGGACCAGGTCATGGCCCAAAACGATAGCCTGCTCCTGGAAAATAGAAAACTTCTGGAGCAGCTCGTGGAGCAAGAAAAATTGCTCCATGACAACAAATGTGTCATATCTTCCGTCCAGCACAGGTAGGTGTAGCCCTGCCAGAGGTGCCAGTGAGCTCCAGATGAGATGCTTCTCCCTTAACAAAGACACGGTTCCAGAGGCTGTCCTTTGAGTTTGCAGCCTCTCTCCTAACCGCTACTCTGCCACCCACTGTTTTCAGCAGTTCACACAAGTGGTAGAAGTTGTGGAATTAGAGAGAAAAATATCATGGAGAAGGCAGGCTGGCCACCTCAGTGGGCTCTTTCATGGTGGCATTGCCTCATTGAGGACCCGGCTGGGCTCATTTTGGCCCGTCACTGTGTGTGTTGACACTCATTTTTATCATTTTATACCTATGGAACCAAGGTAGACCAAGAGAGAGTCAGGTTCACATTAGGGACTTAAATTCACAAAGCCCAGTGCATAAATTTATAAGAAGAAATATTCCCAGCAGGTAAGAATTCACACATCAGCCAGCACAACATTGTCTCCTCTATAGGAAACTTTAATTATAATCAAAAGTTTTCTCAGAGAACAGAATTAGAGCAAGGAGAGTGGGTTGATATTAACAGACAGTATCACCAATAATACCTGTAGTAATTAAGACTTTTTCGAGCACTTACTATGTCTTAGGCACTGTTCTAAGCTCTCTCTGTCTATACCCATTTAATTTTCACACCAATCCCAGGCGGGAGACACTATCACAGCCTTAGTTTATGGGTGAGAAGCTGAGGTCCAGGTTGGTTAGGGAGCTCGCCCAGCCTCGTGAGTGTCACGGGAGCATACGAACCTCAGCAGCCTGGTCCTCGACTCACGGCACTGCGGTCTGGGGAGAGATCTGCCAAGCAGCCTGGAACTTTCCTTCCCACTGATTTGGGTACATGCTCCTCCAGGCAGGCCTGGAAGATCTCCGATTATCTTTTACTATGTATCTCTCCTTTAATATATTCTGTGTAATTCATTGCCCTTATGAGACTATGTCACTGCTTCAGGCAGTCTTGGTGCAATGGACTCAGTACCCTCGCCTCAACGTTCATAATGCTCCTGTCTTGGCCTCCTAAAGGTGCGCACTGGTCACCAGAATTTGGCTTATGTTATCCTTAGAATAAGTTTCTTCTACAGGATGTTTCCTCATTTTACAGATGAGGAAACAGGCTCTGATTTAGTAATTTGCCAAGGTCACACAGCTAGTAAGTGGCAGAACCAGAGCTCAAACACTAACCTCAGATCAAAACTATTGTGCTGTGACATGTCCCGTATAAACTGTAGCCCTGGAGAGTGGGCTGGCCTAGCAGTTAGGCGCTCAGGCTTTAGAAATCCGAAAGTTCTGGGTTCGCATCCCAGCTCCACAACTTTCTGATTTTATCTTCTTACACAAGTTACTTTCCCCTTTCCGAGCTTCAGTTTCCTCACCTGTAAAACAGGCTTCATAACAATATCTATTTTATGGGGTTGTTATGAGCATTAAACGAGCTACTTCATGAAAATTTTGAAGTGCTTTCTGTGTGGCTAGGTTACGTACCTAAGTGGGAAGTGCTCAGTAGAGTGGTTGCTGCGGCTGCTAAAGGATGGGATGACGGGGCGAGGTCAGACTCAGATGTAGGCTTGGTGGCTGCTGTATTTGAAGGGATGCACTGTCTCTTTTTTCAGCTCCACCCCTAAATGGGATCATACCCTTCCTTAAGCGACTCGAGGGTCTAGAACTATTCCTTTCATTCTCTTGCGCATAGTATGCCTCTGCTCACAGTAGGTATTCAATGCCTATGTACAGGCCAGTAGCTTATTTGGTCTACTAAAGTTGGTTCTAAAATGTGGACAGTGGGCTAAGACCCAGAGCTAGTGGGAAGTGGAACATAGTTTTGAGTTTTTAGTAATAATGTAGAAATTTTTAGTCATTCCTCTAATTTATCCCATTCTTACTAGAGTACTCTTCCTGGATAAAGAAAATAAGCAGTTACAGGAAAACAGTCTCCGGCTCACAGAACAGGTTGGCCTCTTAGAGCGCACTGTAAGAAGCATCCAGATTTGCAGAGGAGAGGTAAGATGTGTTTCCTCTTAGGTGTTTAATATGAAGTTTAGGGTTAAGATGGCTCAACTCTCTCTCCCCTTTGTCTTCTTCTTATAGCTGTAGCCTGAACTTGGCCTCATGGCAGACTGTGGCAAAGACGTTCATGGGCTGCACACCAGGGCAGTAACCCTGAGTCTGCCCTTGGCAGCTTTGCTCTTCATTGGGTCATCTTTTATTAAACATTCTTCTATGTGATCCTAAAGCAATTTGTGTATCCTCATAACTTCTTCCTAAACACACTATGTTGTCATTGCCTTTTTACTTCTCTATCTAATCAACTCAGCCGTGAGACCCTGGAGGGCAGGATCGTATCTCATGTGTCATTGTATCTGTGCACAGGAGATCCATAAATATTTGAGAATAAATGACTATTAAATGTTTTCACACGTAAGTCTCATTCTCAACAACCCTGTTTGCCATGTGTTATTCCAGCCCAATCTGAGAGAGGAGCAAATCTGAAGTTCAGAGAAGTAAAATGAAGCTAGTCTGGTCTGGCAAGGAGTCAAGCATAAGGAGAATATCTGAGTCAGAAAAAAAAAAAGCAATTATGTTACAAAAATCCAAGTAGACAAGTAGTATAGGTTCAGACAAGGTCAAGAGTCTGGTTGGTGAGTGAGTCAGTGAGAAGAACCTCAGTGACCGGATTTGCATTTTAAATCCAGCATAGAGGCTGCTTGCTTTCTTCCCTGGCTTGTATCACAGGCTAGATTTTCTTCCCAGGATACCTAAATTTTTTTTCCTACTCATGAAACCTTTAAGCCCTGGCTGGCGTGGCTCAGTAGACTGCGTGCTGGCCTGTGAACTGAAAGGTCATCAGTTCGACTCCTAGTCAGGTCACATGCCTGGGTTTTGGGCCAGGTCCCCAGTTGCAGGAGTGCAAAAGGCAATCAATGGATGCTTCTCTTGCACATCTATGTTTCTCTCCCTCTCCTTCTACCTCACTTCCCCTCTCTCTAAAAATTAATAAATTATTTTTAAAAAAACTCTTTAACAACTTTCAAATATACACATGTACAGCATTGTTAAGAATAGTCATCGTGTTATACATTACATCCCCAGAATTTATTTATCCTATAACTGGAAGTGTGTGTCTTTTGGCCATCTTGACCTAATTCTCCCACCCTCTGCCTCTAGCAACCACAGATCTTAAACTCCATTTCTTTGAGTTCTTTTAGGTTCCACATATAAGTGGGATTGTATGGTATTTGTCTTTCTCTGTCTGACTTATTCCACTTAGTGTATAGTCCTGAAGGTTGTCACAAATGGCAGGATTTCCTTCTCTTTTATGACTGAAGAGTAGTCTATCTTGAGTGTGTTTGTGTGTGTATGTAACAATTGCTTTACCCATTCATCCATATTGGATGCTTGGGCTGCTTCCATGTCTTGTAAATAATTATAAATTATTTACAATTGTAAATAATGCTGCAATGAACATGGTGTGCAGATAGTGTCTTCAGGATAGTGATTTTGTTTCCTTTAGATAAATACCCAGAAGTCAAGTTGCTGGATCATATGGTAGTTCTATTTTTAATTTCTTGAGGACACTGCATACTGTTTTCTGTAGTACCTGCACCAATTTATATTCCCACCAGTAGTGGCCAAGGGTTCTCTTTTCTCCACATCCTCACCAGCATTTATTACCTCTCTTTTTTAATAATGATAGTCCTTCTAACATTACATTTTTGATTTAAAAAAATATGTAAAGCATAGTTCTAGGATCACAATGCCAATGGTTTATCATTAAAATTGTTTAATTCATGCTTTTTTTTTTCCTTTTAGGAAACAATATTTAGTGGCATCTCTGAATATGAAGTACTGAATAAAATTTTGCCCCTACCAAACTCCAGGTTAGTAAAGTCAAGACAGTCATCTGTATGACTAAGAGTCATGGCTGCCTAACCAGTCGTGAGTGCTGACTTGAGAAAGCATAGCATTTAGGGGTAATTTTCTGTTTATATAGTATTTAAACCTTCCAGTTCCTTCTCCCCTCACCACTACTTCAGCCCCACTCTTGACAGAATCCTGACTCACAGTAGAAGATAACCCATAAACATAAATTCAAGGTAATTTTATTTGGCTGTTTTGTATTTGACAGTTGTGAAAACTGAAATCCCATTGAGCCTTATCCCTGTAAGCCCCAAAATGCGGCCCAGAGACCCCATCCACGTGAAACCCTCACACGTGTCCTTTTTTAGTTTTTCTGGAACAGGTTTGGTAGAGTCCGTTGGAAGTCTGTAAGAGATTAAAGAACGTACGTCAGAAGAGGCAGTGGCAAACCCCAGGTCCCTCGAGTCTCTCTACTGTGCACAGAATTCTGAAGCTGGACACACACATAGATGTGGCTTCTCTGAAGGTGACACATCACATCTAAGAACAAGACCAAAAGTCAAAACTATGAAATCACTGACGTCTAAAACTAGCCTGGTCAAAGCTGCTAACTTACAGCTTGAGCGTGAAGGCGGAACACGACATGGAGAAGGGCAATGATAGACTCCCCACTGGACATCAACCAAGAGTCTTGGAAATTGCTGACACATTCATTAAACCAAATCCAAAAATGGACTTCTCAAGTCTGTTTGATATCCTCAAATGCCTTGTATTGATCAATGACTTAGGTAGGGTGGTTAAATTAGGTTTATGTTCCGTAGAACACATACATGGCTAGTTCAGCATTCTTTCCTATTTTCATGGGTATTTTCTTTTTTTAAAAAATAAAAACAATGTAATCACATTAAAGCAAATATTTAAAAAAGAAAAAAAACCTGACCTATAAACCGATATTCTTAACACTACTATTTTCCTTTTGGAGTTATTCCCTTTTGGTTCTTATGCAAATTCATATATTGTAATTGGTTATTATATTGTATTTTCATAGTCTGATTTCTAATTTAATATACCATAAAATATTCTCCCATATTTAAACTCTCCATAATTATTCTTTCAATAGCCATGTGATATTCTATGTTGATGTTCTATAAATTCTCATTTTATCTGACATCCAAGTTGTTCCTACTTTTTCACTATTTAAAGATGATGCTGCAGTGAAAGTCTTTGTGAAGTTAGGTCTTTTCTTCTCTTAAGTTAATCCAGAAAAGAAATTCACAAGATTGGCATAATTGGGTCAAAGGGTATAGATGTTATATAGTTTGGGTACACACTTGTCTCATTGCTTTAAAATAGCTTTGTGTCAAGGTATTGTTTCTACAGTCAACTTATAAGCCTCAATTTCCTGACACATACAATGGGAACAATAGTAGTTCCTATCTCACAGGGTTGTGAGGACCAAATGAAATGAAGCATGCATTTTGCACTGAGTAACTGCTTAATAAATTACAGATATCTTCATTTATTTTCATTGCAGTTTGAGTGTACTGGTTTTTCTACAGTCTTATCAACATTGTATATTATCAGTTAAAAAATGTATTCTAAAATAGATGGTATAAAACTATACTGATGATCCTTCATCCCTTCCTCCCCTTCTCCTTCCTTATTCTCCTTCTCTACCTTCTTCATCTTCAGCTGGAAAGAGAGAGGTAGGCCAAGGCAAGAGGGGGAAAAACATATAAAAGAGACCCCATAAGTTGAGACATACTGAACTTTTATGTGCAACCCTGCCTCCTCAGACCACTGAAGACAAAGGATATAGGAAATAATAGCTATGATACTGAATGCACACTCTGACTCTGAACCTTGCCCACACTCACTTTCTTTCACTCAATTCACTGATTCCATTTATTGAATACCTACTAAGTGCTGTTCAGTAGTTGGCACTGTAGCCATACCTGTGAAAACAGACAAATTTTCTGCTTTCATAATTAATATGCTATTACATTTGTGTGGCAGGGGGTGAGGTGTAGAGACTGACCATATAATTTTGGATGACGAGTGGCGTGAAGAAAGTAAATCACTGATGCAACTGAATAAATCACTGATGCGGGCTACTTTAGATTGGGTGCAGAGTTCCCATCTGAGTGACATGAGCCGACGTCTGAACTACAAGGAGCGCTCCCCGCCCCCATTTAGATCTAGAAGAGTATTAAAAACAATTAACAGCTAGTACCAAGGCCCTTAAGAGAGTATGGAAGTCTCCCTTATCTGAGGAGGATGCAGTCCAAAACCCCCAGTGGTTGCCTGAAACCACAAATGGTACCGAACTCTGTATACAATTACACTGTGTTCTCCTAGACATACACACCTATGATAAATAAGGCACAGTAAGACACTAACAGTAATAATAAAAGAGAACAATTATAACAATATAGTAATGGGGACGCAACTTCTGAACAGAGGACCTGGGCCATGCCCCCTTGCCTCCCACCGCCGGCCCCTCCTGATGGCTTTATTACCTCATATGCAGCTCATCTTAAACCAAAAGAATAGCTCAGCGGACAAGAGTGTCTGACTCAGATATGTACCTCAGAGGGAGTTTCTACTACTTTAGGAAATTGTTGACTCAGTTTTAGGGTTGAGGTTTTTTTTTTTTTAAAGAAAAGGAAACACTGGGATCCATTATTTGTTTGGTTTTGGGTTTTATTGTTGTTCTGGTTCTTAATTTTTATTTTAGTTTGGGAAGTAGATATTTTTATAAAATATAAAAATATGATTTTTCTCTTAATTTCTCACTTTCCCATATTAGCAGTGACAGCCAAAGGGGTCATGACAAGAGAGAGGGGAACACACAGAACTGGCAAAGCGGCCCACCTGGCTCCAGTCCTATCCATCAGGAACTACATTTAGCAGGGCACCAAGCCTGCCCCCCTAAAATCAACTTAGGTGTCCTCCTTTGCTTGTAAATCCCAGGACTCTTGGCTTGCCCAGGCAGCTTCCCGCTGCATTCGGTGTGGAGGCTGCTGGAGGCGTGTGGCTGGCCCCGCCTCCCTCTTCCCACGCTTCTTGGGCAGGGCTGGTTGCAGTAATTTTGAGAAAATGCCACCTTCCCGTGACATGTCTTTAATTTTTTTTTAACTACTATTTGCAGATTGGAGGGGAAGAATGAGGAGGGGGTCATTCTGAAATAAGCATGGGTTGGGGTGCTTGCGTATGTATCTCCCTCACTTTCCCCAGATATCAGGTATCTTTTTTTTCCTCAGTCCAAAATCATGAGGGTAGCAGAGGAGGGAGGTTGCAAAAATGCAGGTACGAGGGGGACGTAGAATCACCGCTGCCCCATCCTTGGCCCTGAAGACCTCCAACATCATCAGGATTTCACAAGACTGTCAGCAGGAAGCCCGCCCGTCAAAGATCTGGGCAGGACTGAGGGCAGGTTGGGATTGTGACGGGTGGGAGCAGTGGGGGGAGGCAGGGGCATGGGCCCTTTTCACCTGACTTGTAAACGTGCAGTTTCACAGAAAAAAAAATTAACAATATACTGTAATAAAAGTTATGTGAATGTGGTCTCAGAACATCTTGTGCTGCACTCACCATTCTTGTAATGATGTGAGACAATACAATGCCGATGTGATGAGGTGAAGTAGTGTGAATGACATAGGCCTTGTGACATAGCTCGAACACAAGCACTGTGATACCCTGACAGTGGATCTGATAACCAAGACACCTTCTGAGTGACTAACCTTCTGAGTGACTAATCGGCAGGTAGTATATAGTGTGGATATGCTGGACAAAGAGATGATTCACATCTTGAGTGTGCAGTTAAAAACGTATGACTTATTTCTGGAATTTTTCACTTACTATTTTTAATATAAATTAATAGTCACACCCTATTTGCTACCTGCCCATTAGTCACTTAGTAGATGTCTTGGTTATCGTATCAACTGTCAGGCTGCGGGTTGACAGCAGTCAACTAAAAAGAGGGTGAAAACGCAGATAAGAGGGAATTGATGTATCCATCCATGACTCTGAGGAACAGAGAGCCCAGAGTATAGTAACTGAGGGCAGGTATTGGATTAGCCAAAACGTTCGTTTTGTTTTTTCTGTAAGACATCTCTAGTAGTGCTTAGTGGTCTTTAACTTCATTCGAAACAATTTTATTAGATTGTATTGTGACAGCTGTCAATCAGTATATATTTTTAAAAAACTTCAAAAGTGGTGAATTTTTGTACAGCCATTTTACTACTGAAGATGGCAGAAAACATGCAACATTTTTGGCATATTATGCTTTATTATTTTGAGAAAGGTAAAAACACAACTGAAATGCAAAAAATAAAAGATTTGTGCAGTATATGGAGAAGGTGCTGTTACTGATTGAATGTGTCAAAAGTGGTTTGTGAAGTTTCTTGGTACTATTGTCATTTTGGCCAAATAATTCTTTGCTGTGGGGCTGTCTTTTGCACTGGAAAATGTTTAGCAGCACCCCTGGACTCTACCTACTAGAAGCCAATAGCAGGAGAGAGCCGACATACTCAAAATATCCAAATCTATAGTTATTGGCAAAAATGAAAAATGTGTCTTTTTTTTTTACAAAAAACTAAACAGACTTTTTGGCCAACCCAGTAATATAAGATTTGGCCAAGGTGAGGCAGCCAGATAATGCGATGTAGGCGCCAGTAAGTAAGGAATTGGATTTTATTCTCAACACTGGAAGCCAGGAGCGGTTTATAAGCAGATTTATTTTAAAAGCTCTAGCTACTCTGCTGGAAATGAATTGGAAGCGACTAAAATGGAAGCCTGTGGCAGAACTGGAACAAAAATTGTAGTGTACTGACTTCAAGTATTTGCTGAGCACACCTTACTTGCCTGGCTGTTCTAAGCTCAGAGGATGAACAGAGCTCCTGCCCTCTGGGGCTAACAGACTAGCGGGCAAGGATAAGAAGCAACAGTGTGATGGTTCAGATCTTAGCTCAAGAGCTGACAAGAATGGTGGAGAATGCCTAGTACAAACTCCCTAGCCTAAGCGAGAATAATTTGTACTTAGTGTAGCCACGTGAGTGGGATGCCCATTCATTCTGAACAACAACAACAAAAGGGCCCAGGTATTCCTATCTCCTCCACCTGCAACTCCCGTCTGCTGCCCCCGTCCCATCTCCCCATCCTCGTCTCCCGGGAGAGTCAACCGAACTGAGAGCTTGCGGGCGTTCTCACGGTCACGACCGAATTCCCGGCCACAGGAGCAGCTCCCAGTTTCCGCGCGGAAACCAACAAGCAGACTGCACTGAGGGCGGAGTCTCCGGGGGCGGGGCTCGGTGTCTGTCGGCTCTTCCCGCGCCTGCGCGGGAGACCCTACCCGGGGACCGTCGCCGGAACCTCGTTCTCCGACTTCTGCTTCCGGGTCGGAGCCATGGCGGTGGCAAATTCAAGCCCTGTCAACCCCGTGGTGTTCTTTGATGTCAGCATTGGCGGTCAGGTGAGGTCCAGCAAGCCACCCAGCCATGCACCGAAGGGAAACTGCACTGGTTCAAGCAGGCAGGACTCACCCGCCCACGGATAGCGGGCTCGGGAAGCCAGAAAATGAGTTTGGACCAGAACCTGCAGACCTGTGGGGCGTGGTGAGAGGGAGTAGACTGAGGGGTCTTGCTTCTCCTACCGCCCATCCTAGCGCCCCGCAAGTGGAAGGGTCTAGACAGAGCGAAAGGATGGGGTACGGAGGCGGAGGCGGGGGAGATCAAGTGCTTGTGGGAGGGAGGGATCAGCCCTTCAGGTCCCTGCTCCGTGAGGCCTTCACGGTCCTGGAGGGGGCTTTCTGACCCTCTCTCGCCGGTTGCAGGAAGTTGGCCGTATGAAGATCGAGCTCTTTGCAGACGTTGTGCCTAAGACAGCCGAGAATTTTAGGTAAGGATATACTCCGGCTCTGCCGGATTAACCAAACCAGAACTCATCCTGTGGAATCGTTAGCCTCTCTCTCTCCGTCCACTCACTGTCTTTGAGATCTGATTCTTCTGGGTATCTCTCTGCCTGAACAGTCCCATACTGACTCTTCCATGTCAAATTATATTGTTAATCTGAATGCCTGGGGGCCTGGACGCCTGGCTGGCTGGTTGGTGGGCTTGCTGTTTGCAGTGTCTGTGCTGTCCCCTCTGGAGGTCAAGGAAGCTCACAGCTGTGCTGTCATGGTGACTGAGTCCTTCATTCTTTTTTTTTTTTTTTTTTTTTCCAGGCAGTTCTGCACTGGAGAATTCAGGTCAGTCTCAGATGTGGTTGACTTATCTGCTTGCTCCTGAGGGGTGTCCTGGGGCTGCTATGAGGGTATTGGGGGACCACCATAGACCTTGAATGATTGCTGGTGGCAGTAATAGAACATAATACCCTGAAGGTATTCGTTTGCCTTCTTTATCTATCTCTCTTCTCCTGGTCCTCTTTAGGAGAGTTACTTTGGCTTGTATACGTGGTAAACTAGAAAGGCCTATTGTTACCTGTCATCAATGCAATCTCTTCCTTTTTGATTATAGGAAAGATGGGGTTCCTATAGGATACAAAGGAAGCACTTTCCACAGGTAAGGGCCAAGGCAAACCATCTTGGTCTTTTAGAATTACTTCCTTGGAGGATTAGTCTGTAGGGGAAAATAAAACCACAGGATAATTCTTAGATCTTGAGAAGGGATGTTTTTGTGAACTCAGGGATTGATTTGAAGATTTCTTAAAAGCCAAAGTGATAAACATTGTATTTTGAAATTACGTTAATCTAAACTACAATGACTAAATCGATGTTTTTCTAAACCAGAGTGTTATCTCAGAATCCTTTGTTCTCTGTTTCAGGGTCATAAAGGATTTCATGATTCAGGGTGGAGATTTTGTTAATGTAAGTAGTACCTTTCCTGTCAAAGTGTTATTGTTGCTGTTACTATTTTTACTATAGGGACCCAGTCCTAAGGCCTGGGAACAATAGCCAGGCTTGATGGGGGAGGAGATGGGGATGGGAATGCCCTTGAGTGCCCGCTGGCTTCTACACTCTGTACCACTACATGACGCACATCATCACTTTGACTGAGTCACTCACTTCCAAATCTCAGCCTGATAGGGCCGGAAATGGAACTTTTCTGGCATACCTGTAGAGGACCCATGACAGGTCCAAATGAACTGGTTACATGAAACTTAGCTAGAAATCAGATGCGGTTTGTTTTAACTAAAGAGTAGTAAGTCCCTTTCCAGTGAGCTGAATGCTTATGCTCCATTGTCCTTTCCAATTCTGGTATCACAGTACCCGAAAAGCTGAGTTTTTAATCACAAGTTGATTAGTATACAAGGAATTAGCAAGAGAGGTAGATAATTCTGGAGGGATGTTTTCTCTATTCATGGGAAGAGCCCGGTGGAATAGTCTCACTACTAAGCATAACTTTCTTGTTAAAGTCTGTGTGTGTTCCCCATATTAAGTCTTCTACTATTCCCCTGACCTTAGAGTTTTTATTTTTATTTTCTAAAGATTTTATTTATTTATTTTTAGAGAGAGGGGGAAGGGAAGGAGAAAGAGAGGGATAGAAACATCGATGTGTGAGAGATACATCGATCAGTTGCCTCTCACATGCCCCCAACTGGCAACCTGGCCTGCAACCCAGGCATGTGTTCTGACCGAGAATCAAACCAGCAAACCCCTGGTTCTCAGGCCAGCACTCAATCCCCTGAGCCACACCAGCCAGGGTCCCCTGACCTTAGAGTTTTTAAAGAGCTCTCTCTTTGCTATCTAGGTAAGGTTACAACGTGACAGATCTTAGGCCAAATCAGTCTTTCAGATGTTTTGTTTCATCTTTATGATGATGTAAAACGTAATTTTCACCAAAAAAATTCTGGAGTTTTGTTTCCTCTCTAAAGAATGGGATTGTACTAGGCCTGTGTTTCTCATGCAGTGACAATTGGTTAGAATCAAGTACCTGCTCCTTTTAGACAAGGTGTGCCCTTGCCTTTTCACCATAGTCCCCACCACCTACTTCCTTTGTTTATGTCATCTGCACCCACAGGCATTTAAGTTGGCAACCCCTGGCCACTACTGATGGTAGTAGGTCTTGGGGTGACCATGAACTTTTTTGTTAGTGGGTAAGGAGGGCTGAGAAGCCATTCTCTGCCTTCTTTTCTTTCTTCCCAGAGGCTCCTGTAGTGCCATATTGACTTAGCAGGAACAGGATCAACTTCTTACTGGTCATTGCCAGGAACACTCAGTCACTTGCTGAAAGCCCCAGGGTCAGACAATAGCTGGTCAGCCAGAGGCCGAGTATCAGTGAAGCAACAGGGCACAGCCGCCTTTACAGAACTAAAAATGGAACGAGCAAGAGGCAGGAGAAGCAGGATTTGAGACCTTCTAAAGTTGAACCAAGAATATTTGTTTGTTTTAATAATATTTGGTTTTCTTTTTATTTATTTATTTTTTAAGAGGGGAGAAGGGAGGGAGAGAAACATCGATGTGCGAAAGATACAGATCGGTTGCCTCTTGGACGCCCCCCGTCTGGGGACCTGACCTGAAGCCCAGGCATGTGCCCTGATTGGGAATCAAACCAGTGACTTTTTCAATTCTCAGGCCGGCACTCAGTCCACTGAATTACACCAGCAAGGGCTTTTTGTTTTGTAAAAGAAAAGGGCAAAAAATGAAATATGTCATCTCCCAAGGAATAACTCCTGTCAGTTTAATTTACAGCTGCCAGTCTTTGCAAGTGTATGTGTGTCAAATACAACTTTTAACAGACTTAAATCATACATATGTTTTGATTTTTTTTAAAGATTTTATTTATTTATTTTTAGAGGTGGGGAAGAGAGGGAGAAAGAAAGGGAGAGACACATCGATGTGCAAGAGATACATCGATCAACCGGCTGCCTCCCATTTGCCCAGAGCTGGGGACCCATCCTGCAATATGGGAATGTGCCCTGACGGGGAATCAAACCAGCAACATTTTGGTTTGCAGGTCAGCGCTCAATCTATTGAGCCAGCCACACCAGCCAGGCAGATCATGCATATATTTTAATTTTTTTGTATTTAATAACTGTCTACATTTTCCCTTCTTGTTAAGTCTCTTTCCAAAACACTTTTTCTAATAACTACCTAATATTCCATGATGAATAAACCATGAATTTATTTGACCTACCCACTATTGTTGAAAATTTAAGTTGCTTTCCATTGTTTGCCCTGAAAATTAATTTGTCATTTTCCCTACTCTGGCTTCTGGAGAGCAATAGGTAGTGCGATTACAGAGAATAATGTAACTTCTCTGTCCCCTAGGTTTATTCAGAAATTAGAGTCCTCCCCTGGACAAATCATTTTGGCCAGGAGGGTGGTATCACGTGGTGCACACTAGATTTCCAGCAGCTCACCTGCCCACATAGTTTGGGAGAAGGCATGGGGTAATAGTCAATTAGGAGGACACTTTTATGTGACTGCAGGTGTAGAGTTTGGGGATGGCAAGGATTACATCTGTGGTCACTGTACTGTACCCTACTTTGCGTCTTAACCTATCTTTCTAGAGGCCCAGCAGTGACCTCTTTTATCCAGTCGGTGAGAAGACCTGGCCAGTTTGAGGGCTACAGGTGCCTTGGATGGGGCTTGCTTCGACTTCAGGATAGGGTCAAAGAGGTGTGACTCCCAAAGTGACCGACAAGAGTGCACTCTGAAGAAGCTACACTTCAGATGCAGCCGCTGTCTTTTTCTGGCCTCTGGGGGGCCCAGCACTTGCCTGTTGCTAACATTTCCCTTCTCTCTGCTCAGGGAGATGGTACTGGAGTTGCCAGTATATACCGGGGACCATTTGCAGATGAAAATTTTAAACTTAGACACTCAGCCCCAGGCCTGCTCTCCATGGTAAGTGAGGTCCAGTCAACATGTTGAGTTAGATTTATCGCCAGCTGGTTTCTGGGCTCCTCTTTGAGGCCCAATGCTGTCTCTTTGGATGAAGGCAAATGCTTTTCTTTTGCTCAGCCCAGGACTCACCTCTGTTATGCCCACCTTTTTCTTCAGCCTGGTTTGGTTTTGTTGGGAAGGGGAACTAAAACTGAACTCTGCTATGTGTTTTCTGCCTTCTCTTTGAGCCAAGGCATGTGGCTGAGCATTTGGCCTTGCTGCTCCGAATGCCTCCAGGTGTGCTTTCAGGACCCCTGATCACTGGCTCGCAGCTTGCTTGCTAGGACCCTCTGGGAGCCCATCTACTCACACCCCCTCTGGGTGGGCCACCTCCTTTCATTCGCTCACCAGGCAGTGCTCACTCCTGCCCCCTTGTCCTCGGACTCCCCTGCCGTTTATAACCCCCATTCGCACAGGCCACTCCCCTTTCACAGCCCCTCCGCCCACCTCACTTAAAACCCCTCATCTACCCCTCCCCCCACTCTCCGGCATGCCCATCCCCCCTTCACTTCCCCTTTTTCACCTCTCACGCCTCTCCTTGTTTTCCCTGACCCCTCCCACCTTGCTTCTCTCTCCCTCTCTAACTTTCTCCCTCCTGCTCATCAGCCATTGCCTCCTGCCAGTGCCCACCTCTCACTCCCCCAGATCCAATATTTATGTGCACATTCTCTGTCCCACTCGTCCACTCCACCACTGATCTACTCAGGCAGTCGTCACGTAAAGGTTTGTTTATATCCACTCCATTCCGGGCTTCATGGTAAAGCATAAGACCTGATTCCTGTCCTTGTGTCACTTAACATCTAATGGGGGTATCACTAATGCAAAATAACAATGTCTAGTATGGTGTAGCCCATGCCGTCAATGTGTCAGGTTACGGGCACCTTACTGTATGTAAGAATCCCGTGAGGGCCCCACGGAATGAGAACAATTGCTGCTGGGGGTTGGGCAAGGCTGCTTCACAGAGGAGGGGACACTGGAGCTTTTGAAAGGATTCTGTACCAGACGGCACGTGGCATAGTCAAGAGACAGAATGTGAGGCAGGTGCTGAGAACATAGGACGCGAGTGGCAGCCGCAGCGGAGTGACCAGCAAGAGACCACCGGAGAGGCAGCTTGTCTGGCTCCTGAAGGGCTTAAGTGGCAGAATAAGGATGAGGTTTGTGGACTTTCTTTCATAGGTTACGGAGAGCCGCACACTTTTTGAGGAGAGTTGATCAACTTTGTGTTTTAGAACAAAAGCCCGAGCTGCAGTGTGAGTGAGCTGCAGTGTGAGTGGCGCGTGGGAATGGAGAGGCGGGGCGGAGAAACCGTTTAGGAGGCTGCCATAATAACTGAGCGAGACTCCCAGTACAAACAGTGTATACGCCCCCTCGTAGGAAAGTCAGGCTGGGGAAGTGCAGGTGAAGGGCGGAGAAGTGGCTTAGGCTGACTTGGATCTTCTCCAGGAGATTACAACCCCTCTAAGTGCATGCAGCTGTGTTGGCATATGTGGAGGAGTCAGAAAAATGGAAGGAAGCCTTGGTCTTTGCTCCCTTCAAGCTGGTTGAGTTGGGCTGTTGACACTGGTTGAGTGGGGCTGTCACATATTTTGTAGCAAAATTGTTTGTGCTTCTATCTCCACTAAATCATGTGTTCCTCAAGGGCAGGGACCGGGTCTCATTGATCTCTAACCCTTATATATGATATAGAAAAATGTTGAGCAGATATTGAATGACTGGAAGATATTCAGAATAATGGGTAACATTTATTGAGCACTTATTCAACAAGCACGTTATCTGCATTAATTTTTTGAAGCTCCTCAACATCTCTAAGATAGGTACAAATGAGGAAACAGAGGCACAGAGAGGTTATGTTGAGGTTATGATCTAGTGATGTGACGAAACTCAGGGCACGTAGAGGTGGAGCTGGGACTCAGGCTAGGTCATCTGGCTCCAGAAATCCAGAGCTGACTGTCTCAGCCAGTAAGTTAGACTACTGCGAAGAATGAAGAAAGGAGTGGCTAAGGGCAGGCAGTGTCCCTGAGCTACAAACACATGTCGTGCAGCTGTTTTCCTGCCTACTTGCTAATAAATATTTGGACGTAGAGTAGAAAACTAGATTGGATGGATGGATGGATGGATAGGTAGGTAGATAGGTAGACAGATAGATAGGAAGGATGAATTGGGACCCCTGGGAAGCCTATCCTTCGTTCCAAAGTGTGGGCCTATTCTGACTGGCCCAGAAAATGCCTTATTTTCATATAGGAGATGTTTCTGAGTACATGTACAAATACCAGAAATAACCTCATCTTACACGGGGAATTTCTAAAGTATAATATGAATTCCCTAATTAGAGCTTACCCTTAGACAGTGTCTTTAATGTATTTATAGTATTCAATTTTCTACTCATATTTTTCCAAAATAAGGGAAGTATGTCGTAATAGATGCATAGTTACGCAGACATTGACGTAAGACAGCGCTGCTGAAACTTGGGTTTGCTGATATCCAAAAGTCTGGATTTAATACAGTGAAGGCAGTTTCGGGGTCTCAGTGTATAATGGACAAAAGCACACTTCATATGGAGGTCAAATGTCTCTGTACAAAGTATCACTCTGCACTGTAAATATATCCTGTTCTTTTATAATGCGTTATAAAATATAATGATGTGAGAACAATTTAAAGGGAGGAAAAGGGAAGGGATATGGCTAGAAAGTTTCAGATTCTCTATTTTTAAAAATACTTTTTCCATAAAATTCAATAACAGGATTTGGGTGTACCAGTAAAAAGCAAATGTCTTTGAATAAATATAGTCTTTTTTTCTATCCTAGCACTAGCAACTTGCACCTTCTTAAATTTTTTTAAATTACCATTGTAATAGTACAGAACCATTCAAACAAAACAGCCTATGGCATAGACAGCGGACCTTTCCTCACCTAGTAGCTGATCTGCAATTGTAATTCAGTTACAACTAGTATTGGACTAAACACAGCAAATCAGGTCCCATAAACAGTTGTTCCCATTATAAAAATTTCACACTGTGGGAGAAATGTACATTTAGTAAGGATCTAGTTCCTTGAGGTCAGAGGTTGTATGTCCCGCTCTTGTCTGTATCCTTGGGTGCTGGCTTAGGCCCTGGCTCATAATAAATGCTCAGTTGGTTTTGCTGGAAGAGTGGAGGAATTAGGGTCATGGGCTCTTTGGGGAATCTTGCTCTTCAGCCAGCATGGCCAGGAAAACTCATTGCAGGTATATTTGGTTTCCATCAGGCAAACAGTGGTCCCAGTACAAATGGCTGCCAGTTCTTCATCACCTGTTCTAAGTGTGATTGGCTGGATGGGAAGCATGTAGTGTTTGGTGAGTCCCACTCCTGTCCCGTGGCTTTGGCCCCATTCACCCAAAGTGGGATTTCTGAAGGAGCCACTCCGTGCACTCTCATGCCAAGAGTGCCTGACTAGTTTAACTACTCTGTGCTACTACAAGGAGGTGGAGGTGGAAGTGGTGGGAGGTGGGGAAGATCTGTGGAAGGACAAAGGGGCCATCTAATAAAGTATATAACCACTTGGGTGGTATGTATGTAGCGGGGGAAAAACCCAGGGTGATAGCACTTGAGAAATACCACACAGGCAGCATGGTGCAGTGGGGCTTCGCAATCGCTCAGATCTAGGTTCGAGCCCTACTTCTGCTACTTGGTGTACCACCTGTGACTTTGGATCCAAGTCATTTCACCTCTATTGAATCTCAATTTCCTGAAATTGGTATGAAGATCAAATGAGTTAATGGTGTGAGAATGAGCACTGGAAGCTGAAAAATGCTATGCAAATGAGAATAGTAAAATCCATCTCACACTCTTCCTGCAGGAAAAATCATTGACGGACTTCTGGTGATGAGAAAGATTGAGGTGAGTCCTGTTTTCATTTCCTCTTGTTCTCAGCCACGCTGGTCTGGTCCTGCCTGACTGGGGTCAGAGTGAGAGAATCCTGAGTGGGCTTCATTTGTTAGGCCCAGTCTTCGTTCATTGCCTCCAATACATGGACTTCCTCAAGGGAAGGGAGGAGAGGCCACATGCCTCCCGAGTGTTCTTGGCCTATGATTAGCCTCTTTAGTGCACACTGAGCTATGGCCTGGGGTGGCCCCTCCACCTACTTGATAACATCCCACTCAGCACTGCATTCAGGATCCTGCATGGCCGGTCGCCTGCCTGCCTCTCCCCGGCCCCTGCTGCCACGGCTGCCTCCATGCCCCAGTCGCATCGGGCTCCTAGCTTTTCTTTCACATCACTGCCTCTTGTCCCTTCTTGCCCCTGAGCCTTTGGTCACGCTGTGTCCTCTGCCTGGAGTGCTCTTCTCCTTTCTTCTCCTCCTTCCCGTTTATCCTCGGTCTAGTTCAAGTAACCTTCTGTTCTGTGTTCTGTGAAAGAGGCCCTTCCCTGACCTCTTTAAGCAACATTTAGTTGCCTCCTCTGCCCTGTATATACTTTATTATAACTTATTACATTGTTACATATCATAGCTTTGATATTTTTAATGTACATCTTATTTTTGATCTATAGTATGTGTTTTACCTATCTGCTAGGGCGTGGACTGTCGTCATATCAGCCCCTGATCCGTCAGTCCTTGACCCAGGGGCTGGCGGACATCAGTAAATGTTTGGGGAGTGTGTGTCTGAGTACATGAATTTCCACTGTGCTTTCTGTCTTAGAATGTCCCCACAGGCCCCAACAATAAGCCCAAGCTGCCTGTGGTGATCTCACAGTGCGGGGAGATGTAGTCCAGAGCAAGACTGAAGCAGGTAAGTGTGTCTTTCTCTTCCGGGGTAGGAGTGACCCCAGAGAAGGCAGCATGGTCTAGCAGAAAGCACCCTAGACTGAAGACATGGGATTGAGCCCGTTTGCTCTCTTGGTGACCTAGCAGAAGTCACTTCCCATCTCTGAGCCTGTTTCCTCATCTGTCAAATGGAGATGGTACCTCTCTCCTAGGGTCATTGTAAGGATCAAAAGGGTTATTAGGGCATGTGACTTTTCTGCCACTTTGTGGTTTACGAAATATCAGCCTGAAAGCCCTCAGGCAGTTTCTGACAGCCTTCTCATACTGTAGTCCCAGTAGAGAGACACAGCCACAGCTCTGGGTGACTCCCTGCTGGGTCCGCCTGAGCAGCCAGGAGAGACCTGTCATGCTTCTTATCAGAACTGATAGGGCAGTTCTTCCTGACCGTATTTGCCAGCTTCCCTACCCATTCTTTTTTTTTTTTTTTTTTTTAATGTATTTAGAGAGAGGGCAAAGAGAAGGAGAGAAACAGCCATTGGTTGCCTCTCACACACCTCCAACTGGGGACCTGGCCTGCAACCCAGGGATGTGCACTGACTGGGAATCGAACCAGCAACCTTTTGGTCCACAGGCTAGTGCTCTATCCACTGAGCCATGCCAGCCAGGGCACACCACCTACCCATTCTTGCCACTGCCTACTCTGTGCTGGGCATCATGCTAGGCATGCAGAGAGGGGCAAAAAATTGAAGGATGTCTATACCTTTCAGGAGCTTATGGGGAATAAGACGCGTTCTGAGAGGTTATCACTAGTAATATGAGTGATATTGCTAATTGTCATAAGCATTGAAGGGAGAAATTGATCATTTCCAGCTAAAATGGTGGTGACTTTCTCTCTTCCTCTCTAATTTTCACACCTGCAAAAAAGTTGGAAGAATAGGACATTCAACACGCATATACATTCACCCAGGTTAACATTCTTATTTTAGCATTTTGCTTTGACATTTGTTTTTTTTCTTTCCTTCTTCCCTCCTTTCACATTCCCCTCCTCTTCATTCTCCTGCTTTCCTTCCTACCTTCCTTCTTATCCTCCTTCTTTCCTTCCTTCCTTTCCCTTCATTTCTTTCCCATTTGAAAGCTAAAGGCTTTTTAACACTTTACCCATAAATACTTCAGCAAGTAACTCCTAAAAACAAGAACATCCTGCATAACCACAATAATATCCACTATGCATGTTCAAACTCCCCCAGTTATTCACAAAATAACTATAGCTCTAGGAAAAGTCATCCAGTCTAGGTTCACATATTTCCTTTGGTTAGTTATTTAATAACATTATATACTATATTTTGCCATATATAATGTGCATTTTTTTGTCCAAGTTTTTGAAGGAAAAATAAGAATGTGCACTATACATGAGTAATATTAATTCCATATCTATATAAATGTTTTTAATTCTTTTATTTATGCTTATGCATTAAAAGTATAACTCTAGAAAGCAATAATGATATCCTTATGCAAAATAATACTCTGGAATATGATAATCAGTTTTGTTTCTAAATATAAATAAATAAATAATTGAAATAAAAAATTAAAACAAAAGATTTTTTTCCCCTGAAAGTTTGGGCAAAAAACATGGGTGCGCATTATACACGGGAGTGCATGATACATGGCAAAATACGGTAATATCGTACACATTTTCACACAAAACAGTTAAAGTGAAAGTCCGACTCCCCCTTGGCATTACTGCAGCCTCAGTCTCACTCCTGTCCTAAGAGGTAACTTTATCAGTTTGATATGTATCCTTCAGGGCCTTTTCTTTACCTAATTTTGGGAGGTTTTGTTTTTTCTAAAAGTTATCATACTACAGGGTCCGGCAGAAGTAACACCTGCTTGAGTGTGGTTGGTAAGGTAATAATGTGGGTGTAATAATTTGTACTTTTAATTTGAACATCTCACCTAAAATGTCATATGGTGTGCTTGAGTGTGATATTGTTATGTTACAGAATTACATGCTTATGATTTTTTAATAAAAGATTTTGTAATAAAAAGGGGGCGTTATCTGTGCCGGACCCTGTATATTATTCATCGTGTTTCCATTTGGCATTATGTCTTCAAGACTTTTTCTCCTCTGTTCAAGTAAAACTACCTAATTGAAAAAAAAAAAAAAGGTCTGACTGATGTGGCTCAGTGGATTGAGCACCGGCCTGAGAATTAAAGGGTCGCCGGTTTGATTCCCAATCAGGGCACATGCCTGGGTTGTGAGCCAGGTCCCCAGTTGGAGGCATGTGAGAGGCAACTGATGGATATTTCTCTCATATGTTTCTCTCCCTCTTATTCTCACTCCCTTCCCCTTTCTCTAAAAGTAAATAATCCTTTAAAAAAATCCTTAAAAAATCCTTGAAATCCTTAAAAAAAAAAACCCAAAAACCAAAAAACTGCCGTGGCCAGATGGCTCAGTTGATTAGAGCGTCATCACCATATACCGAAAAGTTGCAGGGTTCACGCCTGGTTGGGGCTCATGGAGGAGGCCTCCAATTGATGTTTCTTTCACATCGATGTTTCTCTCTCTTTTTTTCCCTTTCTCTCTAAAATCAATAAACATATCCTTGGATGAGGATTAAAACAAAACTGACATAGTATTCTGTAAGATGTTTGTAGCATATAGTATTTTTCCTTTTTCTTTTTTTAAAAGGATTTATTTTTATTTTCACAGAGAGGGGAAGGGAGGGAGAAAGGCGAGGGAAGAAACATCGATGTGCAGGTGTGCAAGAGAAACATCGACGCATCAATCAGTTGCCTCTCACACCCCCCCAACTGGGGACCTGGCCCACAACCCAGGCATGTGCCCTGACGAATCAAACTGGCGGCCCTTCAGTTCACAGGCTGGTGATCAATCCACTGAGCCACACTGGCCAGGGCTATTTTCCCTTTTTCTTAATGGTGTGAATAGTTATACATTCTGAGCCTTAGTTTTTTATAAGTTGTGACTATTTTCTGCAGAAGTCTTAGTTCTTTATGTGTTCTGACTATTTTCTCCAGAATGTATTTTAACAAAAAATAAGCAGTGCGTTGCTTATCTGAACTTTGGTTATATCCTTTGTTAAACAGAAGTTCTAATTTTGATGAGGTAAAAATATCAGTCTTTCCCTTGCGGCTTTTGTGTTTTATCTTGTTTAAGAAGGTCCTTACTACTTTAGATCCTAATGTCTTCTGTATTTTTGCTAATTTTTTTTTAGTTTTATTTGTATACTTACAAAATTATCTTAGAATATATTTTTCTCAATTCTGTCTTTTTTCCTAAATGGAGTTCTAGACAAGTTCCAGACCACTTTAATGACTGTTTATACCTCTATCTGTAACTTACTTTGTGTTCACAGCATCTGGCACTTACAGGCATTCAGTAAAATTTTATTACACAAGTTAATAGAGAGAGAGAATGTCAGGCATTTCAGGCAGGGAACTGGTGTGAGCAAATGCTGAGGCAGGAATGCACAAGTGTGTGCCGGAAGCTTCACACGGACCTCTCTCTTGTCCAACCAGATGGTCCCTTTTCAGGCCCAGTTGACAACTAAGCTCCCCATTCTGCTAGGTTTGGGGGCCCCTAGGGCTCAACCTGTAGTCCCCCTTGAATAGCTGCTGGCCATTCCCTCCCTTTCTCCCTTATTTCTTTGCTGTAACTAAAGTTGAATCCATAGGTCCTTTTCCTTCTAAAGATTGACCATTGATCACTACCAGAGGACAGAAGATTAAAAAAAAATAAAGAAGATAAAAAAATAAATTCTTTATATTTAGGACCTCTCATCTATATTTTTCTGAGTCCCTTACAAAAAGTTACTAGAAATCACTGTTGGGGGGATTGGTTTCCAAGGGTGGCGATCATCAGCCTTCCCCTCCTCACCCAGTACCAGCAAAGACCACATACACCTTTGCCCGCATGAAAGCCCCCTCTCCTCAGCCTGCAGCCTGAGCAGAACAAGTTTCATGGGGGCCATCATTCAATGTTCCAGAGGCCCTCTAGACCAGAATCGACGAGTAGATAGTCCTTTCTGTGATGGGGGAATGTTTTATAGCTGTGCTGTGATGGTACCTTCCAGCCACAGGTGACAATTGAGTACTTAAATTTAAGGACCCACCGGTGGTATTGGCAATTCAGACTCCTAGCCCTGACTTGCTCAGAATTGAATTCATAGCTAATACTTGGGAACGATAAAAGCAGTTATTACTTATTGAATACTTCTTATGCTCAAATATTGAGCTAGGAGTTTTACTTGAATTATCTCATTTTATTTTACCTAAGGTCCCCATCATAGGTTTTAAGATGTTAGGGAATCTACATGGCACTGGGACCTAAAGGAGTTCCAGAGATGGGAGCCACACCTTGAGTTCCTGAGTAATGTCATTTGGGAGAAAGTAAGGAAAGAGGAGATTAATTCCTCAGGGAGCAGGTACCACCCCCTCCCTCTTCTTTCCAGCTGTGAAGTTACAGCATCTCTAATTCCTACAGGAGTGTTTCAGATCCCTCAGTTCGTTTGGGGCAGAATAATGGTTGACAGCCAGTATAGACGATGTTGTCAAACCCTGTTGAGCAGCATTTCTCAAACTTTAACACATATGAATCAAAAGGAGATCTTGTTAAAATGCTGTTTCTGCTTCAATGGATCTGGATGGGGCCTGAGATTTTGTATTTCTAACCAGCTCTCAGGTGACGCTGTTGCTAACTTTGAGTGGCAAGGCTACATGGGAATAACAATCTGCTTTTAAATTGAGAATCCACCCTATTCTAATCAGAAAGACCTAGGAGGAGATGATCTCTTTGTGGCACTGGTCTAGCAGGAATCCACTGTATTCAAATCAAGATATCACCTAATGATGCACTTGAGACCTTGTGCCCAGGCCCTGAAAATGGAAGGAGGTAGGAAGGAGATGGAAGGTAGGTGGGGGTCACTTAATCAACTGTACCTCCCTATGAAGCATTTCCTTTTAGAACTCTTGTGTTTTGCCTTAAGGCTTGACTTTGGTTTTAGTGAAAATGAAGTTTTCTGTACAGTGCTAGATGTAGAAACCTTGGTTTTATCTCAGGGTCCTGTAAAAGCCTTTTATGATAAATTTGGATGCATAAAGGAGCCTCAGCCCTCAGGAATCCCCTGCCGTAGTCTGAACTATGTTCTTTGCTACTTCTAATCACCTGGGTGCTGGTGGAATCTCTATTTTAAAAGCCTGAGAGTCTCTTGGTAAAGGGAGTGGCCGTTGGCTCAGGCAGCGCTGCAGGTCTGAACGGCTGCTCACCTCCCTGTGATCCCCAAACCTGGCATTTGTGGCAAGCAGTAGAGAACTTTCTTTAGTTTGCTGTATCCCAAAGGAGAAGAATCACTTGGGGGCATTTGTTAAACCTATTAATTCCCAGATCCCTCCCCTGGAGAGTTTATATTAACATTTGCATCTGAGGAAAAAATATGTAATTAGCATAACACATAATTTCACAAGTATTATAGCTTATAATGAGGCATCATTCAAGTTCAAATAGTGATTAGGTTAAAAATTAATTATGCCTGTGGATGGTGGATATGGCAGCAGTTCTGAGGTGCTATTTGGAATGGCTGAGGTTTAGGAAACAGTATTCCCCATTCTGGGATTACCCGTAGATGCAATAGATGCCTGCAGAGAATAATTATGAAAGACATGTTGGTGGCACATGGGCTAGGCCTTTGTTCCACAACTCAGCCCTAATTAATTACCTAAGTGATTAACTTCCTAAGGTATGTAAACGTCTAATCACTATGCTGTATGCCTGAAAGTAATATAATATTGTTTGTCAACGATAATTGAAAAATAAGTTTTTTTAAAAAGATGGGTCCCATGCTGCATATGAGGCTACAAATTTGAAAAGCCCAGTTCCTGCCTTCAAGGAACTCACAGTCTCTTGGGAAACTTACAGATACAGTACAAGAAAGCCCTGGCCTAGGGGTTTTAGGATGAAGTAAGGAAAGCGTGAATGCCTGTGTCTGACTGGCATGCTTTGGGAAGACTGTGAAAGAGATGATGCCCCAGCTTAGTACATGAAAGAATAACTTGTCAGGTGGCTGAAACTGGGGAAGGCATTCTAGGCAGAGGGAAGGGCATGAGCAGAGCACACAAGCAGGAAACAGCAGGAAGTGTATGGGAAATTGCAAATAATTCAATATGGCCAAAGCAGGAAGGTAGGAAAAACAGACCAAAAGAGGTGAGGTTGGCGGAGGGCAGGGCCAGTTGTGAGAACCAGTATAGGCTGAGGAGTTCATATGTTATCCTGCGGATGGGGATGGGGTATGTACATTTTTTTCCTCCCTGGAGTCAGAGTCCATTGTGCCTCTGAAATTCTCAAAAGGGGGCCTGATCTTCCATAAAGAACCAAGCCAATTGGAGCCACAGAAGGATTTTGAGCAGGAGAACATTATGATTGAATTTTCTCAGAAGCTGAATTTTTCAGCAACGTGGAGGATGAAGTGGAGGCAAGTAAGGTGTCCACTGCAGCAGTCCGGGCAAGAGAAAGGAGGTTCCACATCAAAACATGGGTCTTGGGAGCACTAGAGATTATTTGCATTCCTGTTGTGTGTGTGACACTGTTCCCTGCCCCCAAAGTCAGAAGCTCTGCCAGCTAAAAAGGGAGGGGGGAGGAGAAAGTCTGACTCCATTCCAGTACAATCCAGTCCGGTCACACATTGCTTACCAACAGGGATACATTCTAAGAAACGTGTCAGTAGGTGATTTTGTTGTGCAGACATCACAGAGTATACTTGCACAAACCTAAATGGTATAGCCTACTACGCACCTAAACAGTGTGGTGTAGTCTATTGCTCCTCGGCTGCATGCCTGTATAGCGTGTACTGTACTGAATACTGTAGGCAGTTGCAACACATAAGTATTTATGTACCAAACATATCTAAGCATGGAAAAAGTACATTAAAAATACAGCATATACAGGGGTGTCCAACCTTTTGGCATCTCCAAGCCGCACTGGAAGAAAAAGAGTTGTCTTGAGCCACACATTAAATAAACAAATACTAATGAAAACTGATGAGCAAAAAAAAGATTTTGAGTAAATTCACGATTTTGTGTTGGGCTGCATCCGTAGCCATCATGGGCCACTGGCACACCTGTATAGGGCAGTTACCATGAGTAGAGGTTGCAGGCATTGCTCTGCAGCAAAAAAAGTCTACAGCAAACTTTTCTGGGTAGAAAGAGTACACTCTGACATTAAAAAGTATAGCATAGTGAATACATAAAGCAGTAACGTAGTTTTTATTATCAGTGTACGCCATTGTATGTGCTATGCCTTTATTAGACTGGCAGTGCAGAAGATTTCTTTACACCAGCATCATCGTAGACACTTGAGTAATGTATTGCACTTTAACCCTAGCTCCTCCCAGTGCCTCCTGGGAACATGTGGCTAACATCACTTCGAATCGTTCCCTGGTTCTTCCATCTCCTCCCTGGCCTAGGCAGTGCGTGGTCCCCTCCTGTGAGCTCCCTGTACTTGATTCATCTCTCCATTACAACATTTCACACAAATGCATTTTCCTGGTTTTCTCTAGACCGAGAACTCAAGACAGGGACCACGCTGACAAACACAGTGCCCGGTCTATGACAGAGCTTAGGTCCTGGAGCGGCATGCAGCTTATAAAGTGCTTTTATTCATTTTTGCACATTCTGCATTAGGGGCCAGAGTTAAACTTCTGTTTGAGCCTCAGCATGATACCAGGGCTCCCTGTCCTCTGGAGGAAGAGGGGTGTGGCCACATTTGTAGTGAGGGGGACAGTATAGTATCTGAGTGTACCCTACATGTTCTTCAATAGAGCTAACTCCAAGGCCATGAACAGAGGGTGTGAAATTTCCTTTCTCTATACTCTGGGACCAAAACCTGCAAGTAAAAGACTTGCTCTTTTTTCTGCACCTCCACGGAGTGCCACAAGGTCTGGCGAAGAAAGATACCTGTGCCCTGGCCAGTGTGGCTCAGTTGGTTGGAGCATCGTCCTGTTACCAAAAGGTCACGAGTTTGATTTCCAGTCAGGGCACATACCTAGGTTGCAGGTTTGATCCCTGGTCAGGGTGAGGGATCAAGCGACCCTTGGTCCGGGCACATACAAGATGCTTCTCTCTTGCATCGGTGTTTTCTCTTCCTTCCTCTCCCAAAAAGACATGCTTTCGAGCCAGCATATCAGAAAGTCTCATCACTGTCAAACCATTAAACCTCTTGGGATCCCGGTTTTCCCTTTTGCTTAACTGTATGATGTATACTGCACAGAGTTATAAAGGGTAAATAATGAGATAATATGCTTGGTGGTATATTAGTTTTTTTTCTTCTTGGTTCTTGTGTAATATACTTTTCAACTTTGCTCTGGAGAACCTAAGGTCTGGCCTGTGAAGAATCAGACCAGTTTTTCTCTTTTGGGAAAAGAGGATCAGGAGTGTAGAGGTGGGCATGTTGTCCCATCGAAAGTCCACTTCCAGTCCTCTGAGCTGTTTGTCTCTTCCTTCACAGACCTCCACATCTCTGCCAGTGTAGGCCTGCCCCTTCTCTGGGTGATGCTCTTGAGTAAGATAACCTGCATTGGCCCCTGTGTTTGCTTCCTGGCCTGCTGTTGACCTGTTTGATCAAGAGACTTTGGAAGTATCACAGATTCAGAATCCAAGATTTTCCATGTTTTTCAACTGTAAATAAAGGTGGTTTTTTTTTGTTTGTTTTTTTGGGGGGGTTTTGTTCTTGTATGTGTGTTGTTACTATAATGATAGCCTGTCTCCTCACACCTTAGCTTCAGCTAGGAGGACTGGCTCTCCCAATGCAAGGCCAGTGTGGACCAGAGCCAAAGCCTGGCTGTATATAGTTGATGCCTCAAATTTACAAGTAGTTGTAGCAGTCGCCTCTTAGGTTCAAGCTGATTGAGCAGAGAAGGCAAAGCCCAGGGCCGATCTATTCTGAGGATGTTCCTAGTAGGTTCAGTTTGGTTAGTTCTGAAACCTGTGGGAAGAGGGTCACAAACTTGGGATATTTTTGGATGGGAGACCATTAGGTAGAATGTATCTTGATCATGACAGAATGGGAATAATTTAGTTAAAAACCTTGGCTTGAACCTTGGGTCATTCTTTTTTTTTAAACAGTTGAGGTCCTGAGGAGTTCACTGCCCCTTTCAAATCCCCCGTTCCCTCATCTATAAAATGGGGATAATAATACCTATCTACTTCATAGCATTGTTGAAAGGGTCAAAGAGAATGGATGTGAACTTGTAAATAGTAACATACCTTGCAAATGTTAGTTTTGAAAGGGAATAACCCAATATAAAAAGTTCCCACAGAGTACAGTGTTCAAGAGGTGAAGAGCTCCCTGGTGTTTCTTTCATGAGGCAGTGTCTAAGTTCTCCCATTCCTCTTTTCTCCTGCCTCAGGGATAGGACGACTCATAACTACTGGCAGCAGACTGCTGCTGCAGAGATAACAGAGAACTGAACTCTGGCAGAATAGAACCTGGTTAGAAGTGCCATTTCAGTGTACTGGCAGGACAAGGGAGATGGTGAAATATACAAGGCACTTACAGATATTCGCAACTCTATAGCTGAGTAAACATTCAGGGAACACAATGGAAAAAGAACTGTGATCAAGTAACTATACGGGGTGGAATTATAAAGAGACAGAAAGAATGATGATTGGCTGGGATCCTGAGCTGCTATTCTTGTGAGGGGCCATTTGATTGGAGTTGGTTGTACTTGGCACCTGCATTCTATGCTGGTCTCTGTCCAGGACACTGGAGCTGCAAAGATGAATGAGATGTGGCCTGTGCTTGTGACAGGAGGTAGGCGCAGTTTTGTAGTGAGTGTTAGAATGTAAGCCCATACGAGGGCAGGAAATTTGGTCCGCTTGTTTTGTTTTACTGCTTTGTCCCCAGCACCTCAAAGAGGTAAGCATCTAGAACCTGGTCAGTTCTCAATAAACATTTGTTGCGTGAATGATGAGGGCCCGTACAAGATGCTGTGGGAGCAGAGTGGAGAGAAGGCACAAGAAAAAGAGGTGCCATTTCAGGTAAGTATTGACAGGTCAGAATTAGCCAGGAGATAAGGGTGGAGAGGGCTTTCCAGGAAGAGGGAACTGTGTTCTTGGGCCAGAGTCTGTGAGAGATGGAGGACAAGAGGAGAGTCATTTTGCAAAGGAGATTCTTGGAGCAAACCCCCTTTCTTGCCTTTCATATCGCTTAGATAGGAGTTGCTCTGGAGTTGTCTGAACTGTTGTCACCATGCTGGGTGGTGTGAGCTCTCAGTGGGGCCAGGGGACTAGCAGAACTGCAGAGTGAGGAGCTCCCACTTTGGAATAGGAGATGAATCTTGGCATGAATGGTTTATCCTCCAGTGCTTCAGAGCACCTCTGCAGTAGTAGAGAGATGGCTATAAGAAAACTAGTAGAAAATAACTCTTTATGTCCACTAAACATGAGAGCGCTTAGTGAAGTAATTGGGTGAGTAAGTAATGCTCCTTTTAAGTAACATTTTAAAGGCAAATGTTACAGAATTTAGATTTCTGCTGGAGAAGCCATCTCTTCAAACCAGTTACATAGGGGATGTTGCTCAGTTATTCTCAGAGGTGCTGTTGCCATTGTTTTGTTGTCTTTGTAACTCTACATTGAAAAAAAGCTCTCAAAACTATGGAGCACACTTTCAAATGACTTCAGTGTTGGCAGAACTGCCTTTTGAGGAAAACTTTTTTTTTAGCAGTCAAAAATCATCTGACAGAGCTGGAATGGAAGACCAGCAGCTCTAGACTCCGCCTACTTCCCTCCATACACGTTGCTGCAGCTGCCCTGACAACCTCTCTTCTTCCCGTAGTTCCTTCTCCAGGCCATTTTTTACTCATTTAACAAGTTTATTAAGATATTGTGTCTCAGGTACTATGCTAGGTGCTCCAGGAATTCATGGTCAGGCTGGGAAATTTTAATTAGTACAATACAGTGTCAGGATAGGAAGGTCTCTCAACCTAGTAACATCTGAGATAAGTGCCACAGGATGAAGAGTTAAGCAGGCAAAGGAAAAATGAGAAATGCAGAGTGTTACAAACAGAGGGAACAGCAAGTGACAGCCCAAAGGAAGCAATGGCTAAACTATCACCAGGAAGCTTGGACAAGGAATGTGAAGAGTGGGAGGTGAGTTCAGAGACATGTAAGCAGTCTTATAAACCACATTAAGGAATTTGAATAATCACTGAAAGATTTTAAATGAGACAGTGTCATGCTCAAATAGATGTTTTCTAAAGAACAGGCTGGATGTTGTGGTGGAGACTATTAGAGTAAGAAAGTAGTAGAGAGATTGGCCAGGAGGCCACAGCAGTGCTCTAAACCACGAGTCAGCAAACTGCAGTTGGCAGGACATCTCACTCTCTAGTGTCCTATGGCTCGTGAGCTAAGAATATAGTGGTTTTTAGATGTTTAAGTAGTTGAGCCCTGACCAATGTGGTTCATTTGGTTGGGCATCATCCCACAAAGCAAAAGGTCACTGGTTTGATTCTTGGTCAGTGTACACACCTGGGTTGCAGGTTCCTCCTGGCTGGGGCAAGAAGCAACGGATCAATGTTTCCCTCTTTTTCCCCTTCCCTTCCCCTCTATCTAAAAATAAGTAAATAAAATATTTTAAATGTTTAGTTGAAAAAAATTAAAGAATATTTTGTGTCATAAAAATTATATTAAATTCAAATTTTAGTGTGTATAAATAAAGTTATTTGGAACACAGATTTCCTTGTTTATTGATTGTCTATGACTACTTTTAGGCTGTACAGTTGAGTAGTTGAAAGATCGTCTGGCCTGTAAAGCTTAAAATATTTATTATCCAGCCCTTACAGAAAAATTTTGCCTACTTCTGCTCTAAGCAATAGATGATGGCCTACACTAGAGCAGTGGCAGAAGGAATGAAGAGATCAGAGATTTTTGGGACAGCTTCAGGGAGGCCTTTATCAAGTGTAATTGACAGGCCTAGATGACACTAATGGGGCGAGGACTACTGTACTAGCTTCCTGTTTTCCCTACTTCCATTTTTGCCCTTCTACAACCCACTCTCCACTAAGTAGGCATTTTTTAAAAATTATCTCACTCCCTACTTAGAACTCTAAATTACCCTTCTCACTATAACCCTTAGGATAAATTTCAAATCACATATCCCTAATTTGATCCTGCCTACCTCTACAATCCAATATCTTCATTCTAGTTTTACTGAACAACTTGCTTTTTACTTGCTTACCAGACCCCATCTCTTCTAGCCTCTAGGCTTTTACATAAACCTCATGTGCCTGGAGTCATCATTCCACCTTCTCCATTTCCACCCCCGAAAATGCTCTGTGATTTTGCAACGCTGTACTGTTGGGTGTTGAAATTTCTGCTTTCATCCCTAGCCTGAACTTAGCAAGGCAGAAACTGGCGAACTAGTCCATCCCCAGAAGATCGTAGACGCTTAATAAAGAAGGAATGAAGGTGGAGGATTTCAGCTACACCATGTGGCAGCCTCAATTATAAATCGTTTGTGAAACATGGATAGTAATCCCTATTTCACGTGGCTATTGTAAGAATGAAATGCAATTTAAAAAATGCCTAGCTTGCTCAATAAACGTGCTTTGAAGTTAAATCTGATTTGTGGCCAATACAAAAAGACGTGAATGCTTAACAAGACGGTCCTTAACGTGCCTGGTAAAATGGATGGGAAGGCAGGTCTCCATGGAGTACACCCCGCCCTCCGCCCTAAATATGCCGAGTAGGGGCTGCAGGAGAGCCTGCGTGGTCCCTCCAAGGTGACTGCTCCACCGAAAACAGACGGTCCTTGAATATATACGTTTATGTCTCTTTCAAAACCCCTCCGTTGTACCGCCAGTACACGGCCATTGTAGAAAATACGACTCTATCCGCAGTAATGATCTGAGGTCACAAGGACCATATTTGGAGCATGGAAGGTGGGGGGGGGCCCTCTCTACGTGGGGCTAAGGTGTCGGCCAGCCCCCTTCCAGGCCCTGCAGTGACTGGGCAATCCCAGCTCAGGCATTTGGTCGTGCCTTTCCTACGACCAGGACACAACTCTGAATGCATGGCCTGCGCGACCATGCTACAGCCTCGTGAAAGTCACGTTCTCTCTGCCCGTCCTCTGGAGTACTCTATGGTTCTCGTGGTGACTCTACTCTAATTCTAGTTCCGGTCTCTATGGCGGCGGCGGAGGCAGGAACGGTTGTAGGTCGACCGAATTAGCCGCCTAAGAGCCAATGAAAGTAGAGGAGTAATAAAGTATTAGCCAATACAAGTCAGGATTTAGGGTCAGGTGGCTAGATTGACAGCACTCCTGACCAGTGAACGATGCTTAGGGCGGGTCGATCGCAGGGCTTATCCCGCCCGTCCCGCCATTCTCGCTAGTTCGATCGGTAGCGGGAGCGGAGAGCGGACCCCAGAGAGCCCTGAGCAGCCCCACCGCCGCCGCCGGCCTAGTTACCATCACACCCCGGGAGGAGCCGCAGCTGCCGCAGCCGGCCCCAGTCACCATCACCGCAACCATGAGCAGCGAGGCCGAGACCCAGCAGCCGCCTGCCGCCCCCCCCGCCGCCCCCACCCTCAGCGCTGCCGACACCAAGCCCGGCACCACGGGCAGCGGCGCAGGGAGCGGCGGCCCGGGCGGCCTCACATCGGCGGCGCCTGCCGGCGGGGACAAGAAGGTCATCGGTGAGGGCCGGACGGGGATAGGGGTGGGGCCCTAGGAAAACCTGGCGGCGGAACCGTTACCCGAAGCGGGGCGAGCCGGCGGGCGCGCGGCCGGCGGGGACCGACTCGGAGGCGCGCGACTGCCCCTCCCCCAGGCCTGCGCCCTCGCGGACGCCGGCCCGCCTGGTCCGCGTGCCCGGTAGGCGCACGCGCGCCGCCTCCCGCGCCCCTGGGCCCCGCGTGGCCGCGCGCCCCTCCCCCCCGGGCGGCCGCGCGCCACCGACCGCGTGTGCGGCGGGGTCCCGCCCTCCCTGCGGGCCGCGTGTGCTGGGGCCCGCAAGCCGTTGTTCCGTCCCCCACCCGCTCCCTTCCGCGTGTACCCTGAGGGCGCGGCTCGCCGCCTACGCAGGCCAGAGTGGGCCGGGCGGCTTCCCCTTCCCTCACGTGCTCTGCGCCCCGCAGCCGCCGCCTGCTGTCTCCGCGAGCGCCCAACTTAGGCCCGCGCCCCTGACTGTGGCGGCCTCGAGGTCACCCACGTGGACCGCGGAGGCACGGTGGGTGCGGGAGCGGGCTCTAAAGGAAAAACTGTCAGGTGGCCGCGGACCGCCGCCGGGAAGCGCACGAGGGACCGGATGCTGATGCGTGGCGGTTTTAGAGAAAGGATGTCTGGTAATCATGGGTTTTTTTTTTTTCCCCTCTTCCAGCAACGAAGGTTTTGGGAACAGTAAAATGGTTCAATGTAAGAAACGGATATGGTTTCATCAACAGGTGAGCTGACCGTCCTACCTCCTGCACGCTCTGCTCCAAGCCGCAGGCTTGGGATTGTTTAAGCATGCCTAGGTGGCTGCTCCTGGTGTGGTGGTAGTGGGGTTTTTGTTTTCCTTGATGACTGAAGGGATCAGTGAATCTAGAGATCGTCTTTATTTTGTGACTAAATATTAATTTAAAGCTAACTTAAAAGGGTTGTATGGTACAGTGTAATTTAAAAGTGAGTGGAATGAGTGGGCCATTTCCTAACAGGGCAAACTGATGAGACTGGGATCTAGTATAAATCTGTTAGACTTGGACCCGGTACGTATTTATGCTTGTCATCATTTTATACGTTATTGAAACTGGTATTTGAAATCAATGGGACCCATTGATTAGTGTATAGGTTATTACTCCTTGTTAACATTTGAAGGTAACATGATTTAACAATCAGTGCAAATGCACGAGGTCTGGTCATCTTGACTAAGGTTATATTGCCTTTGTTTAACGTTTCAGCATGCGCTGTCTTGAATGCCTTAGATGAATTTCATATTAGGACTGCTTTGACAACAAGAGTTGTTTTCATTTGCTCATAGAGTAAGTAACTCCTGGAATAAAATGGCCCTTGCCTTCCTCAGTACTTAGTAGTTCTACTCCCTTGTCCCAAAATCAGACCTATTAGGTCAATTTTATTCAAGGTTCTGTTGTATCTTATTAGAGTGGCCTTCGCTCGCGACAGCAGTTTTCTTCGCATTCGAAGGCGAAGGTACAGACCGCCTCTCTAGGAACGCGCCTCGGCGGGGTCTGCGGCAGCAGGGCGGTGAGTGCTGGTCGCTGGCAGCTCTCGCGTCTCCCCTGTGAGCAGGGCATCATATCCAAGATGGCTGCCAAGGCGGGCAGCGCTGCGCAGGGGTGTCGTGCACGGGAGCGCGGGGAGTACTGGCCTCGCAGGTGTGCGGCAGTCGCCTCAGCATTTCCTTACATCCGTACTTTGGAAGGCATTAAACAGCTGAAGGTTTAAAAGAACTCAAGAAGTAATACCGAATGTTTGTGAAATGGGGAAGATCAAGCTTAAAGATAGACATAATTGGCTGATGAAAAACAGGTCATTACTCAACTATAAAGTATTTTGGGGAGAGTAAAAGAAATTATAAGCACTGATGGTCTGTTTTCCACGTTTGCAATTTTGGGGAAATGTTTTGTTTCTTCCAAAACCTTTAGGAATTTTCCATCTGTCCTAAACACTGTCTGCCTTCTTGACAGACCAAGGCTACATTTTTCATCGGTTTTCTTGATAATGGGTAGCTAGGAAGGAAGGGAATGCTTTGGTGCTTATAATTGACCCCTTTCTGGTTGATTGATCTCTGAATTTGTTAGCATTTCAGTTAATGTTATATCATCTGAAGGGCTTAAACCCTAAGCAGTGGTTTTTGAATTTGTGTGCTTAAGGTACTTTGAAAGGGTGCAAATGCCCGAGCTCTCCATCCCAGCTTGGATTCATTGGATCTGGGGTACATTTTTAAACAAGGACTCTAGGTGGTTATGGTTTGTGGGTTATACCTTGAAAAACATTGCTTTTAACCTTGACTCATTGTTATCACAGGATATCACAGTAGAAGGGACTGTTATTTGCAGCCTTTTCAGTGGTTAGGTTGTAGTGTGTATGTGTTTAAAAATTGTAGCATGTGCCTTCTGTTTGGTTGTATTTTGTTAAATGGACATAGGTGGTATTTTTGAAGTGAACAATTGATACCCAAGATGGAAGTAGTTCTTTACATTTCTAAATTTTTATTTTATGAGATGCCATTGCTTATATGTTTCTGTTCTGACTCACAGTCAATTCAATTGGTCATCCTCCGGGGCAAGTTAAATTGGTTTTTGATGATCTTTTGTTTGGACTGTCCAAACCTCTACTATTTTGTCAAAGTAACTAATTCAAATGTGCTTTGTATTTCTAAATTGGTCATTTCAGTGACTCTAAGACTTTTGAATAGTACACTGTAAAATCTGACTACAATTAAGTCCAGGAGAGGTTTTTCCTTGATTACGGGGAAATGTATGTTTCGAGAATCTAAAGTTCTTGAAGCTGACAGTTGGTTCAGGTCAGTATGTAGATATGCCTGGAGACACCTGGCCAGTAGGGGGTGGGGGGGTGTGAGATACACAGGTACGGTTTCTCTGTTACGGAGAATATGGCAGTGTTTGGGATAATTGCCGTGACTTTAATTTTAACTTTCGGGTTCTATGATTGTATGTTCTGCGTTCTTAAGATTTTCATAATTAAAATAAAGAGATTTGATGTGTTTTTTTAAGATGTGTATTTTTTTGTTTGTGTGGTAAACATTTATGTCAAGCTAAATTATTCTGCATTGTAATTATTGATACAGCTTTGTTAGAATTATTGGTGAAAGGGTTTTTTTTCCTGGCGGTTCCTGTTCTTCTGAGAAGTTCATTATTAATTTTTTGTGTGCTGAGTTTTGTGTGCGAAAGATCATTGTGACAAGAGGGGCTTATTAAACCCAAGATTATTTTTCATTTTGTTATGAAAAACCTAATTCAAAACTGTTGATGGTGTCATTAAAAGAATGCCACAGGGATCACTGGTTTCAGGATTCCAGTCTCTGCTATTTTAAACTAGAGAAGTTTGATTTGTCTTTTGCGTCCAGCTGCTGTGAATTGATCATGCTCACCAAACTTGTAAAAAGTTGGCATGAACCAGTAACTACATTTCAGTGGGACATGCATCTTTTATAATGACTACAGTAGGAGTACTTTTCTGTCTTCTAAAGTATTTAAAATGTTAAATGAAATCATTCTAAAGTTTTATGGTAGGCGAGGAATTTGGAGCAGACTTGAATAAAGCAGAGGTCACAAACTGGTGACCTAGTAGCTAATCTTCCCCCAGGTGTTTTGTTTGGACCATACAGTGTCTTAAAAAAGAATTGTAATTAATTACTGGCATTTAAAATTTAGGAGATAGCACCAAAAATATCCAGAATGGTTGTTTATAAGATCTGAATTTTAGCCTTAGGTACTATAGTTCCATCCCAAGTAAATAAAAATTCAGCTGGCCATGAATATTATTACAGTAATACACCTTTAAATGAGGCGTACATTCTCTTCCACAGCCTATCAGGTTTTGTTTCCTTCTGTTCCTCTTTACATACACCTTTAGTGTAGGCTGTCAGGTTTGGTCTCCCTTATAGGGGTTGGGGGATGTTCCTTTCTGGGGGTTTCATGTGTGTATAACTGAAGGTGACTTCCTTTATACAATGATGATAAATAAAGGTAACTAATGTTTGTCAAGAACTGACAACCTATTTAAATCCCAATGAACCAATTCATATAACCCTCAAACCTTTGAGATACAATACCATTCTGAGGCACAGAGAGGTTGGGAAAACTTGCCCCAGAAAGGGACTAGCTAGAAATTGGCAGAGCTGGGCTTTGAACTGAATTTTCTGATTCTGGAGTTTGTGTTCACTGACTACTGTTAAACTATCTCTGAAAATAGACCCTAGTCACCCTCAATTTGGTTATTGTCCACATAGTTACAGGTTATTTCTTAGGGTGGCTATCCTTAACTATTGAAAGACTCCAAAGTGATCTCTAGCATGTCACTGGAGCTCCTGTGTGCTGACTACTAGTTCTCAGATTTGAAAAGCTTTCTACTTTTCACTAGGGATTGCTATAATAGTACCAGTTTAGCGTAGAGATTGACTTTACAAATTAAAGGACTTGCTTAATAGCTAATACTGGAAAATTAAAGGGGAGAACATCAGACTTTTATTTCACTCCTGAATCATGTTTTATTGATTTTGTAGGGCATGCAAGCTAAGAATGGATTTTTTAAAAAGTCTGTGACTCCACAAAGCCTAAAATACAATTCTTAATTTTAAGAGTGTGTAAACCTGTGGAAAAGATGACTGCCAAGACTCTTGGTCTGTTAAAGTGAGACTGATGCTAACTTGATCATACAGTGAGATCTAGCTCTAAGCCATAGAAGTCATTGGTAGTCTATAACGTAATTCACTAAATGCTGTGTGGCACTAGGGAAGGCTTAAAGACTTGGTGGTGTGTTGCTAAGGAAGGGATTTTGGGGGTGGGGATGCATAAAAAGATACTTAAGTAGTTCTCAAGCCATGTCTTAAAACACTGTATATGGGGCTTTTCAGAACTGGGGCTTTTCTGGCAACGACTTGTATACAGAGCACTTCAGGATTGATTTATATCCTGGATATGGATATGTTAGCCACTGATCTGAATGGAGCTGACCAGAAATCATTCAGTGTTCACCAAGTCACTGATATGTAAAATCTTTTCATCTTAAAATGTAGCATAGAGAACTAGTGTATCCCACATTCTTTTTTCCTGGTGCTGGTTAAACTGCTGAGTTTCCAAAACTCCTGAGTTTTACTCTCCAAATCTTAGCCCTTGGAAGCATGTGCAGTCTAGCTCACCTAAGGCCGGCAGAATAGTAAAGATGATGCAGGAAATAGGAGTGCCTCTGCTGGGTGTGTGGTGTGGAGTGTTTATTTAATGGAGAACAAATAAAACAGTAAGTGGGATATGTGATGTTACAGTCATCTGCAGGACTTGGAAATTGGTGTCTGGATACTTTGGATTGTAGAGCATACAGAGATGAATCCTGGAGTATGTTTTTGTAACCAAAGGGTTATAAATTAATTGATGTAGTTGGGCAAATTAGGTTGTTACAATTGGCTTGGTGTGGTAACCTGCAACAAGATAAGAGCATTTAGTTGTGGCTAGATGAGCTTGTGTGGTAGGTCTCATTTCAACCAGTGCTGTGAATGGGCCCCCCCAAAAATGTTTTCTGAATCTTTTAGGATAGCCTGCCCTTTTAAATTTGGATAGATTTAGTAGTATAGAAGTTTAATGGTGGCTACATGGTTTTTACTTTCATTGTGGTACATTAGGAACTATTTGAGATACTTCTATTTTCTATCTACCCCTGCTTCCTCACCCGCCCACCCCACCCCAACCCAGTCTCCTTCAGGCTC